GGGGGTGATATTTAATTAAGAGACATGTGAGGCCTTAATTTAATCGTCCTTGCATTTTAGACCAATAAGATGAGGAAATGTGACTTGGGAGTGGAAATTTGATGCAACCATCGTAAATATAGTCGTGCTGACCCGACAATCTTTCATCAGCAACAGATGCTTTTGATGTGCACATCTCACCTTCTATTTTGTTAATCAATTCAAAGGTTAAGCTAAAGGATAGCCAGGGTTAAAGAAATTGATACTAACATGTATTTTTTTAAAAAAATTATTTTTCTTAATGTATTAGGATAAAGGATTGTTTCTTAAAACTATTCAAAATAAAAAAAATCATTCTATGTATGAAATGGTTCAAAATATTTATACCATAAAAAAAAAATCAATATAAAGTACCTAGGAGTGTTTAAAAAAACAACCCTTTTATAATATTTACATTATTTAACTTGACCCAATTCATTAAGGTCAGATTATATAGATAATATAGATAATAATTAGTTAAAAATCTAAAAAAATAAATATTACAAGTAAGGAAACTCAACCTAGCATGTATATCCTATAACAATAAACTTAAATATTTGTTGTTATATGTCTTGTTATTTATTTATTTTTAGTTTTTCACAATTGATTCTTTCATTTTAGTTAATTCATTTAGTTGATGTATTAAGTCTAAATTATTTGTTAAAACTTATAGCATATTTTAAGTTAATTTATTGAGAATAAATCTTAGTTCTAATTAAACTTAGTCTATAAAAATTAGCAATATAAATTTAACTTGTAAGCATATATATATATATATATAATATTGATAAAATATTTAATCTAGCCAGATATATCTAACTTGATAGGGTATAAATAAAAATTAAATGGGTGAAATTTACAAAACATTAAAAATTTAAAAATTGTGTTTGAAATATCAAAGATACTTCACCGAATTATATTTATGAACACCGGTAATATAAAGGTTGTATTGTATCTATCCTAAGGTACATTAGTTTGGTGGTGTTCAATTATGCTCCATGCACGCCCACCCCCTGCACATAGCATGTATCTCAAGTATTTTATAAAATATTAATAGGAAATTTAGGAGTGGGAGGTAATGATTATAATTTAAAGTATTTTTATTTAAAAATATATTAAAATATTTTTTTTTTATTTTTTTAAAATTATTTTGATATCACCACATCAAAACTATATAAAAATATTATAAAAATAATTTTAAATAAAAATTTAAATTGTGATTTTTACAGAGTCATATATATATATATATATATGAATGGTGCTTCAAAAGATTAAAGGGGTGGCTGTCCGCCAATTGCCATGTGTGGGCAAAAGGCAGAGGAGTTAAAGACAAAAATTGTGGGCTCCAGAAATAGTCCATGAGTGCAAAACTACAAAAGAAAATTATCCACCCAATCCAACGTCCTAGCCTAGTATTGTCAATTTACAATTATTGTAAATTTACTGTGTCATGGAAAAAAAAAGAAAAAAAGTGATTTTACTTTGAAATTTATGCCACCACGGGTCATGCAAAACATTGTTTGGTATCAAAAAATTATTTTTATTTAAAATTATTTTTTTATATATTATGCTGATATCAATAATAAATTTTAAAAAAATAAAATAAAAATATATTATTTTAATATATTTTTAAATAAAAAAATATTAAAAAATAACCGTTAATACACTCTTAAATATCTTTAGAGTAATGTTTGTTATTACGATTCATTGTATTGTGTTTTAAGAGTATTCTTAGTTTAAAATACATTATAATAAATTTTTTTTATTTTTTTTATTTTAACATCAAAGTATTAAATTTATTAAAATATATTAAAAAAAAAATTAATATCTTTTCAAACCATATATAATTTTACACATTTAAACATAATTTTAAACACAATGAAATGGAGCTCGGGAGAAAGCAGCAATTGAACATTCTCTAATTTGAAATCATAGTAATGTGACCTCGCCATATAAGAAGGTGATTTAATTATAAACAAGGTTTCCATTAACATTAAGCCTACCTTGTGGCTCACATGACAAGATTAGGACTGATTATAGGCACATGAACTATTAGTGGTGGAATGATCCCTCCTCATTAATTAAATTTTGACTTTGCATTCTTGTGCTTTTGAGCATTCTCGATAATTTACCAATTAGGGTTGGTTAAGGATTTTTTTTAATGTTCCTCTCAATATACTAAAACAAGCTATTCCAATTACATCTGATGGTGTTTAGCTCAACTAAAAAATTTATCTCTTTGAATAAAATAGCATACTTGGCTAATCCCTAAATTTTTAGTATAAACAACAAGGGTGAGTAATTAATATAAGCAGTCAAACCCATGTTGTGTCACCATAACTTATAAGATAAGACGAATTATCTATCTAATGAGTTATCCACTAGAAATGACTACGATGAGTGATTGATATTTTTTCGCCCATGCCTTCTCATCTAGGTTGTTTCACTTTTCGCTTAAAATCAGCTTAATAATAAACCATAAAAAATTATTAAAAACTTCTCTTGATGTCTTTAAGTGATTAACTATCCATATAAATAGTAGAGGAACACAACATCATATCGCTCTCTTTTTATTTAGTATATAATGGCTTAGGGATAAGAGAGTTTCAGTTATTCCTTGTTTATTAATACTCAATAAAGGCATTGACAACTTCAATATCGATGATCTCAACGGCTTCTAAATGGAAACAAAACTAACCCGAAGATGGTGAAAACAATTACTTGGTATTTCTCTTCTCCTAGCTTTACATTGTCTTTATTTATCTTTAACTTATTCACAATTAACTTCCATTAAAATCCTTCATTAAACGTCCTATATTGATCAACTTGGTCTAGATGCATTAATTTTGCAACCTTGACAATTTTGTTCTTAATTCTTTATCTGAAATATACTTTGTGAGGGTTATTTGTAAAGTTTAAAATATAGGTAGAGTTCTTAATGGTAAAGGTCATGTCAATGTCTTCGAAGGTGAAACATATATAACCTAGATTCCAAAAATACATTGACTTGCTAAAACCTAAACCGAGATCCTTGTTAGGTGGGCAATTCCCTCATACTTCTTCTCAAACAAAACACCTCATCATGATCGAGACCCTCACGCCAGACAACTTCCTCCTCCCTACTTTGGCCTATTTCCTCCTCGTCATGGTTGTTGCATGCAACATTCATTTCTGCATGCAACAGCTAATTAATTAACTTGGCTTTAGGTCAGGCCAGTTATGGCCCCGTCCAAGTGGCTGGGTTGTGATTAGCCTTTTGGAAACTGTTTAAAGCATGAGATTGTTCACGGAGACATTCCTTAAAAGAAGGCAAGGTTGGACAATCGTTGGTTGAGTGTTCATTTGTTTCACAGATTTGACACACAATGTTTTCATTATATTTTAATTGACCATTCTTTTTCAATTCTAGTGCCTCGACTTTTCTAGTTAAAGATGCAAACTTGGCTTGAAGGTCATGATCTTTCCTAAGGTTGTACATACCTCCACTAAATGTCTGAGGTTGAGTTTTACTCGTTACCTCATAAGTACTCGCGGTGTCCCAATTTTGAGCATTTTCAGCTAACAAATCTAAGTACTCCATTGCTTCATCAGGATCTTTATCTTCAAAAGTTTCATTGCACATCAATTCAACCATTTGCCTATCTCTAGGTGTTAACCCTTTATAGAAATGTGAAACCAATCTCCATATTTCAAAACCATGATGAGAGCAAGTACTAAGCAAGTCTCGATACCTATCCCAACATTGGTAAAATGTTTCTCCTGGTTTTTGAGTGAAAGTAGTGATTTGTCTTTTGAAAGAGTTTGCTCTTGTTCTATAAGATGGGAAAAACTTCTTTAAAAACCGTTGTTGCATTTCATCCGAAGCATGAATGGATCTTGATCTCAAATTTTGTAGCCATGTTTTAGCTTTATCTTTTAATGAAAAAGGAAAAAGCTTTAATTTGATGGTGTTCATGCTACAATTTAAATTATTATATGTGTTACAGACCTCCTCAAATTCTCTTAAATGCAAGTATAGATTTTCCAATTCTAAGCCATGACAAGAAGGTAAAAGTTGAATAATATCTGGCTTAAAATTAAAATGAGATGCATCAGGAGGAAAAACTATGCATGATGGTGCACTTATTCTTGTGGGATTCATGTGGTCTTTAAGTGTTCTAGAATGATTATTCTCATTATGAAGTGATTGATTATCTTCTTCGGCTATATTTTCTGAAAATGATGAGGATACCCCACAAAGTCTACCACTTGATGTACATGACCACACTCTCATGCACGTGTAGGAATAGAATAAAAGGAAAAAGAAAATAAAAAAAGAAGAAATAAGAGAAAAGAAACAAAGTTATATATAAGAAAAGTAAAAAGTGAAAATAAAATAAATATTATAATTTATACAAAACTTACCTCCCCGGCAACGGCGTCAAAAACTTGACACGACGAAAAGATTGATGTCTTCTTCCAAGTGCAGGAGTGTCGAAGTAATAAATAATCCGGCAAGACCGGGGTCGAATCACATGAAAGTTAATTGTATAAATTATAAACAACAATTATAAACAACAACAATAGTAGCAATAACATCAACAATAATAGTAGCAATAATAATAATAATAATAATAATAATAATAATAAGAAGAAGAAGAAGAAGAAGAAGAAGAAGAAGAACAATAACAACAACAACAATAACAACAACAATAATAAAGAAAAAGAAAAAGAAAAAGAAAAGTTGATGAGAACTTTGAAATGAAAAATTAACGTA